ACGACATCCGAGATATCGCGAGACGTAGATGGACACAATACACCGGTCATAAGATTGTTGAAAACCTTTTGGAAGCCAGCGACCGGTCCCGCTCTTTTTGGGACTCATCAGGCACAGTCCCCGAGTTTCGATCAACCTTATATTCTACTTGAACTCAAATAGCAACAAATCAGCGAAATGCACTGATTTGCATGCCAATTTAGTTTTGACGGGATACTCACCCGGAAATCAGCTGAATCTCTCATTCATTCAAGAAGGGAGAAACCGGTTGTAGGCTGTCGAATGGTTTTCAGCAACCTGATGGGTAGCGTATTACGTCTATGAGTCATTTTTTGTTACGCTAACATATGGAACCTTCAGGCATCCGGGAGTGAATTTCAGAAGATTAACTTACTTCCTTTGAACGGAAAACTGTTCAAGGCTAGCTCGATGATAGAACGTCATCTGCTCCATACTCTCATCTGAGCACTACATCAGCCCTATTTTTCCACAGATCAAGAGACTCAAAAAGCTCAGAATTTGGATGGGCGGTAAGTCTGATAAATAGGACAACTCTTGGTCGTATATGGCGGCGAAAACTACCAGTTATCAAGTGCTCGTAGTCTATAAATCTCACGATTCAAGCAGTTAATTCTGTTGGCGCTGTCAAATACTTTGACGTTGGCTACTGAAAGACCAATGGAAAAACGCCGGTCATCGCTAAGAATGCTGTGTTTTTTATTGAAGGCAAAGCACCTAATGTGGGGGCTTGAACAAGTTTTTGCATGGTTCCAGACAAGCTGGGTAAGTTATTACGTCAAAGACTGCGTGCATCTAAGAACATTTGCTAAAGCGGGTTGCTTTCTCTTCTGACGAAATTCCTGCACCATTAAAAAAAAAGTAACACACGAATGCCATTAGTAACAATGTGAAAGACGATCGTTTTGGAAACGTAAACAAGTGGGAAACTGGGCAGAAAATCTTCTAGGTCTTGTTCTGTTTATTCCCCAAATGCCTTTGGTGTTCGAGCGCAATAGAGGGCGATATTGCGAAATCCAAACAGTGAAAGTTGGAAGCAATTTTTTCTTCCGAGTGCAGAAAACCCCACTTGGTAACGGGGTCAAAAGTGGATAAAATAGACTAATTATTTCAGGTGAACATGAACAGTTTGGATCCAGAAGGTGCTGTTTATCTGTGTAAGCTTCATTCTAGCATTATCAGTCCGAGGCGTAGTCGCCTCTCTTAACCAACCACTTGTAGTAGATAACTTGGGAGACATGACCACCCGTTATTAACATGTACGCCATGACCCAGTCCTGTGCCCAAGCGTTTAATCATAGACGTATTTGGCGTACACGAAAGATCCGTTGAGTCAGTTTGGCAGTCGATGAGGATGAAAGATAACGCCCCCAGAAAATGTTTTGTCTGTCTGAATCCATTTAGCGAGGACTTTCACGGTGGTTTAAGCTTATGCTGTGTAAAACTGACAGTGGATTATCAGAGTTGAGGTTTTTATAGCCGCGAGTAGGACCGACCAGACTGAGTCAGAAACCCGGAGAAATCCTGGTTATCGACCAAGAAGGCCGATGTGGACCTCATGGGATCAACTTTCATGTACCGGTTCGGCCCTTGGCACCACTCTGCACCGAGCTCACTATGGATAGCCCATCAATTTAAGGTACTGCTGGAGCCTTCACGCAGAACATGTTAACCGTAAAGTAAAGTAAGTAGACGGAATGAAAGGATAGCATGTGCACAGATTCGATATGTTGGATGATATCTGTTTGATCTCTCATCACCAGAGTCATTATCATTATCATTATCATTATCATCATCATCATCATCATAATCATCATCATCATCATCATCATCATCATCATCATCATCATCATCGACAGCATGACATCAGTGTTCAACACCGATGCTTCATTACCATACAGCCGTGATTTATTTGAAAGCCTTATTGTAAAGAAAAGAGTAAAGGTGGACGGAGAAGGGACTTAGTGCTAGCTTACCACAATCATTCCGAGGTGCCTATACCTCCAGACATTCACTCAGGCAATTTGGATAGAAATTGACAACAAGAACGCCACTGACATCCGTTGGCAGCCATATCTTGTTGTATCTCCAACCAGGCACAGTGAGGATCACGCGGTCCCCATCCTGGAAGGCGAGTAGCACCGACAGCACCCAAGCGTTTCGTGATTTCCTTCATACTCCTCTGACAAGTCAAGGGTTGCCCACTTCTCTGTTTATGCCACTTTCAGTTAGGCATGGAAAACAGCACTCTCTTCGGCAAACGATGGTTCGGCATACGCAACACATGTCCCAACCAACGCAGCTTCTGGTGCTGTACACATTCTTCAATGGAAGTGCCCGTTGCACAACCGAAAACGCAATTCCTAACTTCCTCGTTGCGGATTCACCGACACCAACCCACACGAGCTACGGTTCTGAGACAACGATTGTCGAACACCTGAAGACGTCTCAGTTCTGCTGCTCGAAGCTTGTCGCCCGCAACGATACTTTGCTCGGTCTAGATTTAGCACGACATGGGTAATATAAGTAACAAATATCCCGCCTTCTGTTCACTTATTGTGTAATTAACCCAAATAGCAGCGTAGGTCCTGTCTGTTTTGCTTACGCTTTCTACGTGTTTTGTGATCAAACAGGAATTCCTAAACTGTATAGCTCTTGTCAAATTTTTACATACACATACAAATACCTGCAACGTTCGTGTCAGTTGGTTTTGACCGGTACGCTCGTCTCTAATACAGCTGCAAGATTCTGAGTTCCAGCCTTACTCATCTCGAATCCTTTATGGTTCACACAGTAATGCAGCACTTGCTATTTGGGTAAAAGCACTGAAATTTTTAGACTTATTCACCAGTCTACAATCGTATCGACCGGAAAACGGTTTCGAATCGATTTGCCCAATGTCCCAATTTTAGGCCACTAGGATTTCTGGTCACGTAGTCACTGTTCTTCAGTCAGTCGCGTTAACTGAGTTAGAAGACATTGCAATACATGTTGTCTCCTAGACCACGTTTGAAAACAGGCATATTCAAAAGAATAAAAATTACTTGGCAAAGTTGCGTGGAGAAGAGAGCTGCGTTTGAAAAATAATGGGGGAATTTCGCGAATAAAATCCCGCATAAAATTCATTTGAGGCACAAGCATGGCCAGCTACCGGTTCGAAACTGACGGTCATTTGTCGATCCCCAACAACGACAAAAGACCTCACCTACCTGACCTTCAAGGCATTCAAACGTAGACTTTTTGTGTGCAAAGACTCGCCAGCAAAGTGTTCTCGGCTATTCTCAGTGAACATAGTTTGGTGGATGCTCAAAGAAACAGGATTTACATAATATTCACATAATATTACCAACCAAGACAGTGAACATAAGCCTGCCTTCGTGTTTTGACTGGCGGTTATCGATTTGCACTTATACAACCACATTCTATTGACACTAGTTCCTCATTTAGTTCACACTTCAGAAAAACGGTGAAGCTCGTTTTCATTTACCTGCACTGTTCAGCAAAATTACATATTTTATATGATGCCCGGAATCTTGAATCTGGTCATGTGACGCGAGTATTAGCGCTGACGATCCATGAGACTGTGGTGACCACTCTCCCCGATTGGCGCGTTTAAACTCTGCGCACATTTGAGTTTTGCAACTTGTGCCGAGTGAAATTGGTTACCACAAATAGAGGTGACTTTTCGTTCATGAATCCACCTTGTGCGGGAACCGCATGTGACACTTCCGAGGTTGTGACTGAAATCTAGGCGGATAGTGGAGCCCAAGTGCTGAGAGAAATCGACCTAATAAATGGGTTTTCCATTGAGGTTGAGCAGTTCAAACGGTCAGTGGTGGCCAACACAATGATTCACACATGCAAACATAGTAGATCGGCGACCAGAGGGAACGCGTCATTGCAAAAGTGGAAAATATGTAGGTGATCAATGATATCCTTACCAAGCATCAGAGTCTAAAACAAAAACCTTTCACTCTTCTCTCCTTATACGTAAGAGAATGTGACTCAATTCTGCGAGCAGGAATGTCACCAAGATGGACTAAAAGTAATCTATGTAAAATTAAAATCACCTGAGTTAAGCCGAATTAAGCGTGTGCTGTGAAACTTGTCGCGACGTGAGTATTTGGTCAATGCAACTTCATGCTTGAGTGAAGCTCACCTTCCCCCCTAATTTGGTGAAATATGTGGTTTTCTCACTACTTCAAGACATTGGTAGTATGATAAGGATTTTGGCTTATTAGTTTGCAAATGATAAAACAGAACAGCCCAGCTCATAATATCAGAACCAACATAAGGTTGACGGAAATTCGGGGACCACGCCGACCTGATGAGCCCCAAGAAGGGCGAAACCGGTCATGGGCTGTCGACGAATTTTCAGCAAACTTGCGAGTAGTGCCTTACAGGCCTGTTCTCCTTCATTGAACAGTGCGACGCCCCACATGCAGCAGAACAACGTCTAAAGCGATTCACACATTGCCGGTAAACGGGATTTTCGCCAGGGTATCACATTCCTCCAAGGTCTTCGGCTTTTTAGAAATCCTATAACCTCCACTGGTCAACTCTGGCTACGATCGATGATGTATGGATTGAGGGTAGTTTTGAGTTTGACGAGTAGTTGGTAGTTGAGAGGTGTTCGAGTTGTAAGTTGAGGTGATCACTTCATTGCTAGATGACTTTGGTCATGGTAAAGTTTATTAACCCGATGATTCAGAATAAGTATGAGACATCTGTTAACTGATTCTCAATCTCCTGGCATAGACTGATGAAACATCAGAAGTCTGAGGTCGACCAACAATCGACTTACCTTGTGAGAACCCGCAGATTCTCACGTGTAATCCGATTCTAAGGCGGATGTAATCGTTTGGTGTGGAACAGATAAGACCTTAAGGGATTCTGAATGCATGTAATATGAGGGTAAGGTTCATACAAATATCACCAATGTCTTCCGAATGAATCCAGCGGGGAAATGAACTCAAACTAACCAGTTTGCGAATCATTTTTCTTGCTCTCGTTTTCCAGAGCTTCTTTTGGTGTGAGCATGTACTTTCTTGCATCAGCCTCCTCGGGACCCAGCAGCTCAAAGTTGCTTTCCGCACCAGTGTCCTGCGTGAAGTCATAGATCTCTGACCAGTTACAATTGAATATACTGAGACCAGCTGACTTGAACTGAGCTGTTAGAGAATAGATAGGGGAGGACAAGTAACGTAGGTTGTTATGTGCGTAAAACAGAACAGACCAGCTCTTAATATCAGAACCAACATAAGACTGACGGAAATTTGGGGACCACGCCTACCTGATGAGCCTCAAGAAGGGCAAAACCAGTCGTGGGCTGTCGAGGAGTTTTCAGCAACCTTACGAGTAGTGCATTGCAAAATATATATGTATCGTGATATTTCGAATATCGTGGCGACTGAAACATGAGGCTGTCTGGTGCAGCACATTCAGTTGCCTGGAAACATCACAAACGAGAGATTCAGCTGGGTTCCAGGTGAGTCTCTCGAAAGAGCAAATTAGTTTGCAAATGAGTGTATATTCGCTAAGTTCGTGCAATTTGGCTTCAAGTAGAACATAAGGTTGACGGAAACTCGGGGACCGCGCCTACCTACCCCAAGAAGGAGGAAACCGTTCGTGGGCTGTCGAAGAATTTTCAACAACCTTATGAGTAGCGTATTACGTCTATACATCTGGTTCTTAGTTTCACTTGTTCAAAAATGTACTAATGAAAAGGATATTGATACAGAAAACTCTGTTCCGGATACAGCACAGCTTTGAGAATACTGTTTCTAATCATCAGCTTTGGGAACGAAAGATATCATTGTTGGGATATTAGTAGCACACTATCACAAAAGCTACTTTTCAGAACATGTCGTGGGTAAACTTTTCAAAGGAAAAAGGCTCCCAAATTTTTCCCAAAACGATGACTACTCAGCCGGTCCCAAGCGTTTCCCAGCTGGTTGAAGGTTTCCCACTGTTTATTTCATCTGAGAGTCAAGAGCAGCTTTGCGGCTAGTGTTGGATAATTTTTGCTCCTGGTTGCCACGGCAACTATTGTGTCCATTGTCAGCCTGAAATCGATTTTAAGAGCTGAATTCTCATGTCGGAAACTATGGTTAGGTTTGTTGTTACGGGAAAGACCAGCCGTGGTGCATAAACAAGGTCGTTTGGATAAAAATAAAAGGGCATTGGGATTTTCATCGCTCTAGATACGTGCTGAACGTGACAGTGAAACAATGAACCAGAAATTGGGGACGATACGTGTGATTGGAGAATAACAGCGTTTTAATTCTTTTACACCTTGCAACGAAGCGAAATTGGGATGACGCTAGGTAAAATTATGAATGGCGTCCAGATTGGCTGGCTGAGTGTCTGGAGGTGTGGGCACCTTGAAATGAGTGTGGTCAGCTAGGACTCTGTCCCTTCCCCTATCCACCTTTATTCTTCTGTTCACAATAAGGCTTTTAAATAAATCATGGTTGTACGGCAGTGAAAAATCGGTGTTAAACACTGATGTCATGCTGTGGATGGTGCTCCGACCATATAAGGTGACCTAAGTATTCAACCAAATCGCAACAGTCAATCGCTATCCTGGCCTTTTCTCAAAGAGCTGACTCTTCGATATCTCCATGGGTTTCTCTCAGACTCTCCCTCGCCCTGCTCTTCAACCCATATTGTCATTACTCCGCTTATTCTGAAAATCGTACTTTTAAATCATCGGCAACGTGATAGTTGCTCACGCTGTAAGTATGCATTTTTTGCCGTTTCATTTAGGGCCTAATTGCGTGTTGTAGAGTTTTAGTGGGAAGGAAATGAACACCATGCTAGTGAGTCATGAGCGGCTGAGAAGCAACATCGTCAATTTTCATCCAGCCGTGAAAACAAAAACTAAGCCAAGAATGGTTTGTTAGTTTACTAGACGAAGTCTCATGGAGTCTAATATGGTTTTCTATTTCACAAAGAGTACTTATTTTTCTAGTGGTCGGAAGATTTTAGGGGTTAATTCCCAAACTTCGCTCCGTGGATTTAAGGCGAGGAAAAACAAAGAGAGTTCGACCAAATTCTACGAATGACGCGTAGTTCATTGTACATCTGAACCACCTAGCGTGATTTCTGGTTACTGATGCGGTGGGATAGAGTAGTCGGCAGAACAGAAGTGAACTACTATAGAAGAAACTACAGCTCTTCTCCCATCTTGACGTTCCCTGTGGACGGAACGTGCAAGAAGACAGATCTCAAATATTCAAAGGAAAGGAAACTCAGTGACTTGTATTCTTCAACTGTGGAGGAAAATGTGGCTGTCAAGAGGCCAAGAGTTCAAAAGCGGGAAAATAGCAGCCCAGTCTCGATAAGTTCGCATTAAAAATAACTCAAAAACGGGCAAAGAAGATCTCCTTCAAGCCATCAGGGCAGTTCGGAGTTTTCATCATTTCAGCGCCTAGTTGAGGATTCCACAAACTCTCGGTTTCCTAGAGGATGAGAGGGAAGAAACGTAAAGATGCCGCTCTATGCCAATGATCCATATTCACCAATCGATCCCTATGTCAAACTGCTGGCGCTACCAGTGCAACGGTGATACTACCGATGAGGGAGGCATGCGAGTAGTATGTTTTGTTCTTGTAAATTCGCTTTGCGTCTCTTGAAAAAGGAGGTCTGTTGCGGAATTTGTGGAGTCGCTTTGTAGCATCGGCTTGAATTTGAGCAATGAATGACTGGAGTCAACGAATGTCCAGGAAAGTTCAAGAAGACGCGTTCAGGAGAAGATGGATGTCCAGTTTTGTAAATAAGATGTAAATGAGAGTCTTGCTTCCCTGTCCAATAGTCTGTAACTGGTCAGTTGGCATTTTCTATTAACTCCTCAGCGAAGGCCTTCTTCCTCTCACGAGTAGTATTGGTAGAACTATCCGCGGCACACACGAACGATGTTCAACTTGGGTTCTTTCACTCAGCGAATAGCTTTCTACAAAGTGCATGATGTTTCTGGTTACAACATGTAACGTGGATGAGAAAAAGGATCAAATATGAGGAACCTAACAAACCACACACGAGAAGGCGGGTTATACTTATTTGTTGGAAACAGTCCTCTTACTGTTCCAGCAACAGCCCCGTTAGATGGAGTATGTAAGTCGCATGGGAGCAGCTGATGACGTGTTTTTCATCCCAATTACCGTCAGTTACTTGTGTCAGTTACAAGTTTGCAACATTCACTCCGGTCACAGTGATAAAATCCCACCATCTTATTCTGAAAAAAGTTATGCGAAACATTCGGAAACGGCTGAATTGTTCGGTAGTCCTTCGCAGAGGGTGTTGTTGTTAGCCATTTCTTCAACTGACAATGGAAGCTCTCCCTCATATTGGAAAATGGTGTGTTCATCTCTGTCGAATTTTGGTACTCGGGAAAGTCTATTTGCACGCAATGTCGAATGGAATAGCAACAAATGCCTCAAGATATCTCATCGGACAAGCTGTGGAGTTTTTTTGGCAAAGCTGAACAAACACACAAATAGTCCGAAGAAAGTTCTGTACTGTTTGTAAGGAAGAAAAAACAAAATGTCTTTATTGTCGGCCCAAACAGGAACACGTATCCAGAGTAGTAGGTGGCAAAAGGGACACATCGGAGACTGTCTAACAGTGCCGTTCTACAACATGCACAATAAACCCAGTGTTTGATCAGCTTTGATTCATTCCTCAGTCAATACTGAGTAGACTATAAAGCGCCACATGTAAATATTTCACTGCACGTCAGATTCAGACCATGCCACAAGGCTGACTGTCACGAACCCTTTGTTTTCTCATTCCCTTGAGCCACTGAGCAGTTTGTATCCCACTAACTCATCCTCAGCAGGCACTACTCTCAAACGGCCGACTGTATGTTCATAAAAGGAAGTATTCTACCAATTCAAACAAGCCCAGCACCAAGTTGGTGTGAAGCAGAGTGATTGAGAGATGTGAAGTGCAGATCAGTAACTCTTCTGGTCCAAAACCCGTGCTGTGCACTTATTCTGGATTTCTGAATTTCTCTCAGTATAGCGCAAGGGCGGTCGTGGCTGCCGCAGTTTCGTCCGCCGTTGATTGGGAGGGGGTAGGTAGCTGCGCATTGCAGGTGAGAGATGATAAATTGGTGCACAAATCTAGCACTCTCAGTGGGCTGTCAAGTGGGGGGATTGGGAATGGAGCTATGCAGTGAAGGCAATAGCTTGGATGCACGGGCGCCATTGGGGGCGCGACTGGGCCACGTCTGACAATGTCTCTAACCATTGATGTGGCCCGTCTCGGGGTCCCCATCCAGGAAGACGGCAATGACCAGCGCAGCTGAGTTTGCTGGTAATGGCTTTCACAACTCACTGCCAAGTCATCGTGTGACCGCCTCTGGCTCTCTTCCACCCTTCACGTGGTTGTGCGAAAAGAGCCCTATCGAATACCATTTGTGTAAATTCAGCATTGCTGATCGGGTGTTCCCACCAGATTCGGGCAATGTTCCGAAGACATCGATGGTCAACCACTGAAAGTCTTTATCCGTCCTCGGCGCTCAGCGGCCAGGTTTCTGACCGTATAGTAATATGGAGCGCACCGCAGTATTTCGGTGCTCTCCGCTCAGTACTCTTGGGGTGCACACTCATGATGATTTCCAAAAAGGATGAAACTGTTCTGCGGTAGTTGTTCATACTGTCGATTTACCGAGATCTTCGGTGGTCTTCACTGACAAACACTCTATGAAAATGTGTTTTTCAAACTGTGTGGTGCTTAATTAGATGAACTTCTAGCCTCGCATATCTGGCAGCCCATTTGGGATCATACACGTGGGACTCAGCTCACTCTACGGGGGACATATTCAAATGAACACGAGCGATAGAGTTTACAACCAAGGTAAATTTCCTCATTGGCAAGGCACGTGTCCCATTGTTGGTTTACATAATGTCCAGACAAAATCAATCATACTGTCACGTAATCTGAAACGTACTCGACTGCTTCCGCAGCCTAGGTAAACCAACAGAGTTGAATTGCTGTCTCTAAATCACGTGGTTTGTGCTCATTGAGCGTAACTCATTTGAAAATAAAATGTATGTGGCTTCTTTCATGAATCTAAAACTAGTACTTTTACGGGAGAGTCGTAGCTGTCATGCTGTCGTTGATGATGATGATGATGAAGTACACCTTCCAGTGTTTAAAAAGTGCTCAGTCGCTACGAGGACACATTAGGAGGCTGTATCAGATTCGATGCTTGCTACGGTTTCAACCATCACCCTCTGTCTGTCTCTGAAACAAGCAACCTAAGTGTACATAGTACGACCAAAAAGTTATAAGACTCAAGTGGAACCGAACTTCTGATCTACCGCCTACTGAGAGGCATTTTCACGCCATTTCACAGTGCCACTATTCAGTGTACCAGCAGCCCATGAATGTCACAGCCACGTGGTGAGTGCACCACGTGACTTCCACAATAGAACAGGTATAAATTTCGTTGTGGAAACCACCGAACCTGGCGACTGTTGTCACGGTTTACCAGGGATCTCAGGGACACATTTTAGAACATGAAGATATAAGGCTAATTTACACTCATCGCTTTGCCGTATCTGCGGCACTAGCTCAGATCAGAATGGAAGAAAAGAGGGAAGCTAAGGGTGACAGCAAGTTGAGTATAAAATGCCTCTCCTCTCTCTCTCCCTCGATCACTTGTTACATCAAGCGATTGTATTTTTCGTCGACTTCCAACGGTTTATACCTAAGACAGAAAAAATAGTTCAATAAATCTAGGAACGAGAAAGTTCAATGATAGTGTTTATCCAGCATTACGACCAGCATTCTTGACTGATCAGGATGACCAGAACGGTCAACGGGTCACCATCCATTGTCCACATGTTCACATTTGTGATTACACGTGAACATCCAATATCTGGTCTGAGGGTCATCCACACCCAGTTTCTATATCATGTGACCTCAGTGCAGACTCTTAGAGTGAGAAGAAACATGCTTTGCTAACCGCTTTCAATCTGAGCTAACCCTAGCCACGTGATCAGAGAGGTAAGGAACTAAATGAAATTCAGTCAAATCGAAAGTGCACCTAAACTTTCACCCGAACCACTTGTCAAAACCTTACTTCGTCCTTTTCGATCGACTGGTCGACCTAGGGAAATTGATCTAACCTAATTCAAGTTACCGAGTGTTGGCATCTACTGCTTGTCATATAAAAAGTCCAGTTGACCAGAACTGCTCTAGCAACCAGTTGCCCTACTTTTGTAGTCCGTCAACTGATAACTCAACTAACAACATGGTCTCAGTACCATCCACTCTCAGTTATCACACACCCAATCGCAAATGGCCAAAATCCTTCCAGGATAGGAAGTTGAACAAGTAAGCTTACTCAGTATCGGTCACTCTAACCCACGGGCTGGTATTCAACACAGTTAATACGGTACACTCTCAATTTATGCGTCCTCAGCGTTTAGGGCGTTCTCACCATCATTCGTCGGTGAATTTCTGTTCAAGACCTTCCACTTAGGCAAGTCCACAAATATTTATAATCAAATATTAAGGAATAACACTTGGGGGAGCGTTGTGAGTACATCCAACATAGTTGTTTTCGGTCATGAACGAATATATTACCATATCTATTGAATGGCTGCAACCTAGTCTTCTTCAGCGATGATTTATTTATGGATTTATGGAATTTGTTCATTTATGGATAATTTGTGGACTTATTTATGAAAAGAGTCACGAATGAATTAAAACCATAAATCTTCCCTGTGGCTTCAGGTCACAAAAAATTGCGATGACTCACGGAACTTCATCGTCAAGATATGTTTTTCTGTAAAGTTTCAAGTCACTTCCAGCCTTAAAACAGTCTCCGCAAAATGACCTTACAAACTAGCGGTTTAACAACCAAAAAAAAACTGAAATTAATGAAGTAATCTGTGAGCTTCCTCACAGAGTTGTCCTTGAATCATAACTCATTATAGTTTGCTCATGATCGACCTAAAGTGAACTATAGCCAAGCGGGAACAAAGCCAACATAATCAATGATAGCGCAGGCGTGAAACTTTCCGGGGAGACGAGTCTCACAATGATACTAATCACAGGTGCATCGGAATGAATCGATCGGCTGCAAGTGTTTTTTAAGCTTTGTTGTGACAACAAATGCTAACGTATCCTTACTCACGTGAACAATAGGCAACCGATTGTGAAACTTTGTTTCCGTTCCGAAAAATCTACGTCATCGAAGTTGGAATGAAGTTACTGTAGGTATGCAGCATAAATATAACTCATGGTTGGGTTAACGAGAACAAAGTAACTGGGGCTAGACTCACGTCTAGAATAGCCAGTCCTCCGTTTTGAGAAATTTTGATGGCTTCTGCGGAAATACCGTGGTGATTGCAAATGCAAGTATGTTCCTACATTGTGACCTAAACCGTCCCTGCCAGAGGACAAGACTAACGGCTACAGTATGGCTCATTCTAACGATAAGTGCCAGATTACGATACACCGCATGTTTTTTACTCTCCAGGAGTTACCATTTTCGACGGTCTTCTGAGTGGCCAGTGAAGAGGAGTACAACTCTACTTGAAAGCGCTGGTGGATAAGCAAGCCACTGCACTACTGACGACAGAATCAAGTAGCAAGTTCAAACAACAGGCGATCTATCAATGGAGTGAGAAAAATCGACATTAGGTTAACCAACGCTGCAATATTCAAATGTTTGGAGCTTCTGTGAAGAATTTCAATAAGCAATATTACCCAAAAGCTTTTCTGTTCTAGAAAAATTTCTATAAGGTTCGTTTTCATCAGATCTCGTCAACAAGGCATATTTGTATCGTGATTTGAATTACGGACCAATCACGTTCGAGCAAAGCATGTGATTGCTATCCCACCGGCGGAGTTGAATTATCACGTCTGAGCGGTGTGATTTATTTGCCTGAAGCGTGTAGCAGTGGCGCAATAACCTTGGTTTTGTCGACCGATTGATTCATCTGTCGGGAATTCCGAATCAAATAGAACGATGGCTATTTGAAACCCACTGGAAGGAGAGATCTTTGAACGAAAGCAGTAAATTCTACAATTTCAACAACCATCGACCATTTTAGCGGTTTGGCGTCTGAATTCAGGGACGGTCAAGAAAATATGTTTCCGAAATTAATACAAAGATTGAAAATCAGGTCCACTGCCTCCAACCCTTTGGCGTGGACCAAACAGATTAACTGAAGGAGGACCACCCAGACGGCTTACCTAATTAACAACTTCAATCGGACTAACTCTTCCAAAAAAGGGCGAAACCGGTCGTGGGCTGTTGATGGATTTTCAGCAACCTTATGAGTAGTACATTACAAAGATATAACTATTCCACAGTTTACTGTGATTCACTCGCACTCAGTTTAGAAGAAAGATTATTGTAAACAATCTGATTCACGTACAACCAGAGGAAACACAAAGGCCTTGATATTTTTGACATCCAGGAAGAAGTACTTCAATCTGTTTTACTACTTGGCATTTGACATGACTTGAGTTCCACAAATCCCACCGATTTTTAATGTCTGGAGAGTCGGGTGCTCGTTAATTTTTTAAGAAAGCTTTTTGTGGATGAATTTTCATTGTTCCAAACGGGACTGGGAGGTTGATCCCATGTATGAACGCAGTTTGTAAACAAATCAATCCTGTCTTCACAAAGCCACAATGTCACATTTGCTTCAAGTTGCTAAGTTTGTTCACTGGTTTGAACAAAATCCACCAGTCTATTTGGTAGAAGAAGTATTGTAAGAAAGAACAAGATACATACTTCAAATGGCAAACGGTTTTAAACACGTAGGGGAGCTCAAAGAAGGTTGGGCGAAAGATGGAAAGGCCTCTGATATGTATGACCACACCTCTAAGGAGACCAATCCATTCTGGTTCGTCAAAGTCTTGACGGAAACAGTATTGTAGTTCAAACAGGATGTTAACAAGTATCCATTATAGATCGTTTCCAGAAGTCTGTTGAACCACGTTTAGTTACGCACGAAATCCCAGAAGCGAAATCGTTCAAAGGGAACTTATCCCGAAAATGCGGTACTATAAATACGATAATAAAATAATCAAACTACACAAACCTCA